TTTCATTTTCTAGTTCTGAAACTTTATTTGGATGATATGTAAATTCATGAAATTCTTTGGCCTCGGTTTTGATCATTAATTTACAAAGAACTTTTGTGGTTGGAATTCGTTTGAACCATTTATTAGTTATATTGTAATAAACAGAAATTCATCAAAAGTGACAGCTCTCAATTTTTTGACATTTGTAAATTCTAAATTGAATGAGAAAAATGAAATAATACTAAGCATAATACAATATTCTAGATTTAATTATAATTAGGGAAAAGTTAGTTTTGAGAGTACTTTTCATAGGCATATAGAATGAAATCTTCTGAAAAATAATATCACATAAACTCATATTATTTTCTAATATATAACTATTTTATATAAAAATCAAATTCAATGATCTTAAAAGCGAAGGATAAACCTCAAAATTTACGAATATAATGAGTGGGAATATAATGCTTATCTATCATAAAACCATATGAAATAAGGGTTTCGTTTTGCTAAAATTGTCACTTTTATAGCATATTTGTTTTTGGATGTTTTGCGAAACCAAAAAAAAAAACTATGATATACAATGTGTGTGTAAAGAAAATACTTTATTTACTAGTTAAAAAATCATTTGGTATTGATCAAGTTATTTTTTCTGGATAAGATATTATATGGATAATTGGATAGAAAATACAATTATATAATCTTGTACCTGGTTTAATTAAGCTAATTGTCATCAGAAACTTGTAATTTTTATGAATTTCAGATTTTCTTTTCATTACTGCTTTTCTTAATAGGTCAAGTTCTTATTTACGTTATAAAGTATGATATTTACAAATATCAAGTTATCATGTTTTTTGAGAAATTATGAGAAACAAACAAAAATGAAAAAGATAGGAATAGCAATGAATAGTGATGTGGGTATAGAAAATGTAAGAGATATGAATGCAAAGCGATCAGTATTTAGGATATTGACCATAGATTTCGAAAAAAAAATGCTGCATATTGAGCGAAAACTATGATTATATTATAAGGCTGTCATTTAAAGTATAATGAAACTATTCCCTTTTCATTTTAATCGAATAAGATAGTAAAGATTTTTGAATTAGCTAGAAACTGATGAGATGTTTTCACAAATCAGATTTTTAATCTCTATAATGCATAATTCACTCAATATCTCAATTTTGATATTGCGAGATATTTTTGCTATCGGTTTCGCAATTTTGACACAATAGCAAGAGGGTTCTATTGTTGCATGCTAAGTTCGGTCAACGATAGAAATTGAGTGGAAATTAATCATCGAGGAAGTACGATTATGTAAAGTAAAAAAAATGTTGTGGGATTTTTAATATTATATATTATTTTATAATAAAATTTTTTTGAGTCATTTTAAGAAGCACATATAATTTTTTGAATTTAAAAATTAAAGTAGTGTCAAACGAATTTATCACTTAATTTAATACTCAGATTTCTTAAAATTAATGAAAAAAAGGTTTTCTGAGAACTTTTGAGAATGGTTTTCAAATTCCATTATTGAAAATATATAGGTATTGTATGAAATTCAAACTCTATATTTATTAAAATTCTAAATTTTAATAAAATAACTTTTCAGAGGAATATGATTTTGAATGGTTGATTAATAAGTATAAAAATGTCTACGATTTTAAGGAGGGAATTGTTCCTTATGAGGTATACATCATAACTATATACCTCATAAGGAACAATTCCCTCTTGATAGCTGGGAAACTTTCTCTGAATAACTTATCATTTGGAGAAAGTTTCCCAGCTATCTATTAGAAACTAAAGGCTGTGAGGCACTAATATATAATCAGTGCCTCATAGCCTTTAGTTTCTTATTAAAAACGAGAAAACTTGTTCGAAATGATAAACAATTTCGAACAAGTTTTCTCGTTTTAAGGAGGGAATTGTTCCTTATGAGGTATACATCATAACTATATACCTCATAAGGAACAATTCCCTCTTGATATCCTGGATATTTTTGAATATATTTTTTTAATTAAAGTTCTCAAAAGTATTATCAAAAGTGATTTTTAAAAATATCTCCAATTAATTAACTAATTAAAAGTATTATATTTTTAAAATTAAATAGTTTTTCAATTTTTTTGAAGGAATTGAGATACTTCCCACGACAATAAAATTGAGAGGTTTACATTATGACTGATCTTAGCATGCAACACTATAAGCATTATTATCAACGTAGAATCTGAATATCATATCAGAAAATGTCGCAAATCTGACATTTACCCGACCAAATAGCAAAAATAATTGAATACTTTTCGCAAAAACTTTAAAAATCGATAAAAATATGAAATATAGATATTAAAGAGACTTTTTATATAATATTCATAAAGATTTTCCAAAAATATGATACCGCAAAATTAAAAAAGTGACGTCTTGAGTGGAGTCAAAGGTCGAAATTGCTAGCTAAATGTTTTTTAGCGAAATTGCGTATTGTACGTTTTTTTCGCAAAACGAAACCCTTATATGAAATATCAATTTTTGCTTTACGCCTAATTTTTGACGACAATTAGCAAAAAATGTTAAATGTTAACACTCAGTCCATTTGAATATGAAAAATAAAATTGACTTTGATTAAATGTTTTTATTTATCATGCAATTCTTCTTGCGACCAAAGATTTGAATAAAAGTTCAAAAAATAAGATAGCTTAAAAAATAATATACGGTAGTGTTTACTAATAGATGAATAGTATATAAATTCTATTAAAATGGATTTGATCCAAAAAAATATATAAAATTTGATCATAAATAAAATCGTTTTAAATTACTTCTTCATTTAAATTATAACAATTATTTTTGGTTTTATATTTTTTGGATCAAATCCATTTTAATAGAATTTATATACTATTCATCTATTAGTAAACACTACCGTATATTATTTTTTAAGCTATCTTATTTTTTGAACTTTTATTCAAATCTTTGGTCGCAAGAAGAATTGCATGATAAATAAAAACATTTAATCAAAGTCAATTTTATTTTTCATATTCAAATGGACTGAGTGTTAACATTTAACATTTTTTGCTAATTGTCGTCAAAAATTAGGCGTAAAGCAAAAATTAATATTTCATATGGTTTTATGATAGATAAACATTATATTCCCACTCATTATATTCGTAAATTTTGAGGTTTATCCTTCGCTTTTAAGATCATTGAATTTGATTTTTATAGAAAATAGTTATATATTAGAAAATAATATGAGTTTATGTGATATTATTTTTCAGAAGATTTTGTGTTCTTCTTCAAAATTTTATTTTTTTATTAAAAAGAATCTTTACAAAATATACATTTACTTTAATTAATATTTAAAAACGTGCTCTATCAAAAGTTCCAAAAATTTAATATTTTAGCTTTTCTGAGGTGTCACTTTTGATGAATTTCTGTTTACAACAATATTCGTTATATATTCAATATCTGGAATTAATTCCCAAATTTTTGCATTTTCAATTAATTTATTATCAAATGCAAAAGCAATGGGTTTAATATTATGTTTACCTTTATAATATAAACTTTCTACCGATTTAGAATTTAAATATCCCCATAAGTTATATATTAATTTAATAAATTATATTATCATTTATAATAAAATTTTTCGAAATGCAGATAAATTTTAACATGTTCGAAATGAAACTATTATAAAATATATTCTTTTTATTAATGGTAATATAGGAATTGTAGGAATAAAAACTTTTTATAAATTATTCATAAATTTTTAAAATCTGCTATTCGGAAGTATGTTCAAAAATCATTCAATTATGTGAGAATTCTTACGATTACAAAAAAAGTCACACACCCCGTCATCTTCTACTACTATGTAATCATTTGAATTAAGTGAGGTTTTCCTTAATGCTTTTGCGATATCTTCTCGATCAAATATATCAAAAATGTTATCTTGATCGATATATGTTGTAATATTTTGCGCTAAGTATTCGATATTAACTGTAAGACCTCCACTCATAAATATGAAAAGTCGTTATATTTTTTTACTTTAAACAAATGAAAGTTAAAAAGCACTCGAGTATATTTTTTAATTTCATTTAAAAAATTTGGAAAAACCAAATAACATGTTGGCATTAAGTTTACTTAGATATATTATAAATATTACAATAAGCAACGCTCGTATATAAATAAAATTTGTACAAATATATTTTTGTTAACGTTAAATTGGAATCTAACGATGATGCATTAGTTAAATCAGCTTTAGATGTTTCAGATGATCTGATTTTGATTATAACTAATTTAAAATTACTTGTTTGGTATGTTCGTAATCATGGCTCTTAAGTTTTGGATAGTTAATCAAAATTGTTACTAATTACATCTTATTTTCTTAATTTTTCTTTGATCGATATATGTTGTAATATTTTGCGCTAATTATTCGATATTAACTGTAAGACCTCCACTCATTAATATCGAATATTACCATTTTTCGCGTGACTTTTTCCCTCAATTTTTGTCACAAGGTAAGTTCCACTAGATGTTGAATAGATCCATTCGTTTTGCATAATAAAAAAAACGAAAAATTAATGGTGCACTGGATAGTGATTTAAAATAACTTTTTCACGAACAAATTTATTAACTTTTTTTCCTTTGAAAATTTGGATAAAAAGCTAGAATGCCAAAAAAATTGAGAGAATGTCAGAAAGTGGTAAGTGCACCCTTAAAAATATTTGAAATACAGAGTTTAAAAAGTGATAATATAGATTCAATATTGGTGAATTCAAGTAATTACTTTCAACAACTTACGCCCCTATGGAATTAATCAGGAGGAAATTGTAAGGAAAATTAGATGCTCAAAAAATTGAAGATTGAAGCGAATAACTTAATTTTTAAGTATTTTTAAGCATAGAATGCTAAAATATACCAAGAGTGAAGGTATCAAAAATCGCCATGTTGCAATGATATCATCTCAATGTATAAATTCCAGATCCAAAAAATTGAAGGTTTCAAAATAAATTTTGCATAATCTAATATATAATAAATAAACAAATAAACTATTTAGGAATAGAAAGAGAAGTAATTTTGCCTCTTGAAGACAAGACTTTCACTGAGTCTTTGTCCCAAGAAGCAGAGAAAGGAATTTCTTCGTTTCCAGAAATCTCAAACTGAGATATTCCGATTGAAGTTTTCATTGGTTCCTGCAGAGGAATGAACATCGCAGCGCTTGGATTTGCAACAAGAAGCCATGATCCCTGGCTGTTGATAGAAATCATGTTTGTGACAAAATTTGTTTCCAAATAAATCCTTTTCGCTGGAGTTATCAATATCTGTGTGATTTTTCCATTTTTCTCTGCAATGAATACAGAATCATTGTAGAAACACATGAAAGGAAACTGGTCTGACAATGTTTTGATGACTTCTTTGTAGTTTTTCTCTTTTTGCGAACAAATTGAAAACAAAACTTCAACAATCAAGTGGCTGTCATCGTTTTCGAGGAACTTTATGAACGAAAACAAGCATTTAACACCATCTTTCAGCTTAAAACACATCTTTACATAGTGATCTCTCACAATTTTCATAAATGGAAAAGATTTTTCATGAAAAGCGTTTTGTACAGCGACAAGGAACTCGTGCGTGTTAATAATAGAGTCGATGTGATCGAAACAAATGGAAATCTTGGATAGTTTTTGTAAATCTGAAAGACAATTTTTGTAAATCAACTCTTTATAGATATCTGGAACGAGTTTCACTGATTTGGGGAATACATATATGAAGTTGAAAAAGAATGTGATCAGTGTGTCCTGGTTGCAATATGTTTTCCTGATGTTTTCTATTTGATCAAAAACAAATTCGGGTTCTAAGTGCTGGAAAATGGTTGGAAGTGAGGAGAATATTATGTTACTGACTTTCTTGTCAGCAGTACTAGCAAATACTGCAAGATAGAAAAGAGAAGGAGTAGTTTTGAATTCTTGCTTATTAATAAGAGACAAAACATAATGTTGTGTAGATACAAGTGGAGTAAAGTTGTAGATATCGAAGTTCTCAAGCATAGGAATGGTGATTTTGCACTTTGCTCCATATAAAACTAAAAATTTTTCATATTTTTTGTAAAATTTTGCATCAAAAGTCTTCGAATCCATGATTGTTGCAACTGTTGATAATCCTGGGAACTCAATAAATCTCATTCCGTTCCTTATTTTGGATCTTTTCAGTTCTTTATAGTTATATTGTTTCGAAACAATTTCACAGTCCCTATTTATGGCCAAACAGTCGCCATTTATGAGCGTAATTATCAGGAAATCCTCAATAAAGAACGCGTCAATGATTTCGACGCTGAAAGATTGAGATCCAATAATTTGATCTTGATCAAAGAGACAAAACGACTTCGAAGTAACGAAAGCAAAGAATTTATCATCATTAGGTTTGATTACCCATCTGATTTTCTCTGTAAATGGTAGATAAACCAAATTATCAGTAATATTAATGATTTTGTTGGAGTTCGTAAAGACCAACATCATATTTATGTCGGTTATAATACGATAGCTATCTTGGATGTTCGTTATCTTTTGATCATTTTTCATTATATTAAATTTATCGTCAATTGTGACAATATCGTCTTCACACATATGCAATGACAATACATTTCCTTTGAAATGACCAGAAACAGATTCTTCTGAGACTTTTTCAGAATTTATATATAATTTCAATGAATTATCATTATTTATATAAACAGCAAGGTCATTATCATAACAACAGTCATTGTATTCAATGTCCAATTCCGAAATCATCTCAATTTTGATATTTTTGTAAAATTTTGTTGGTTCTTTCGAAGATTCGTAATGAAAGTCAGTTACACGGTTTCCAACGATCAGTTCGAGTTGGATTTTACTGTTAGACTTCGCAGTTTCAAACAATTTATAAATATCATTTGAAATTATTTTGAATTTATAAGTTGTTTTTGATGTATGTACGCAGAATATGGTGTTTGTTACCCAATAAATATCAATTACATTGTTTTCCTCTGTTTTCTCGAAAAGAATCTGAAATCCATCTGAAATTTTCCAATTTTTCGCATCATAAATCGCAAAAAACGAGATTTCCGGTGATACAATCGTTTTCTTATTCTGTCCGCTTGCTGTGTAATAGTACACCATTGATAATTGATTCGAATTATATGTTAAAATCGAAAAATTGCCTTTTTCCTGGTAAACAACAAAATATGGATGCGAATCTTGTACATTTGTTATGACTGGGACAAATGGACCTAGTGTTCCTAATGTTTGATCACTATTTATCTTACTATATGCAATTCGATATGAATCTTCAATTGCTAAGTAAGAAAACTCTGAAATATATGTGCAGCACAATCCAAATGAATTAAATACGTATTGTGCTGGATAGTGAGCTAATACAATCTGATCTAAAACTGAAATTATTGAAATTGATCCGTCATTAGAAAGAGAAGTAACCGTTTGTATGCATATGTAATCGTATGATTCCGTGATTGAATTTATTCTATGTTTCGAAATATCTATGATTGTGAATAATTTGATTTCATATTTCGAATTTTTAGAGTAAATAAGGAAAGTAAGGATTTCTCCTGTTGTTGTTCCAACAAATAATATGTACTCAACTGTCATTTCTGGATCAAACTTAAGATAATGCTGATTTTCTTTTCGAATTTTCACCATTTTTGTAACAGTGAATTCGAATTGTGGTGAAATGAATTGCTTGGATGGAGTGAATGCTATTCCTAATGGAATTGAAAGATTACTCAGTTCAGTTGGATTGATTTTTTCAAGCATTTCATTCAAAAAAAAATCTCAAAATTTTTTTTCGCTCTTTTTGCAACTTAAAAATGCATGTTAAACTAGCAATAAACATGTATCGTTTAGGTCTAATGATATATAATGGGAGATGGAAGTGTGACAAGTACAAAGATGAAGCTTCTTTAGCAGTTGTAAGAATGGGATGCGGACATTTAAAGAATTCAAGCTTCTTTGCAGCAGAATTCCAATTCCAAAACGGTACTTACATCAAGTTCAGTAAAATGGCTGAATTTCATGGCATAAATTATCCAAATTCTGATAATATTTACTTATTTAATTACTTTTCAAAAAATGAAATCAATATGACAGAAATGCTACTTTTTACAAATAGGTCGCTGTACAATTCAAATGGAGAACCTTTTAATGATATAAAAGAAGCAAATTCAAATCTTAACAAGTCTTTATCAATTTTCTATCCTAATACTTCATTGATTGGAATCAGTCTACACAGAACCCCTAATTTTTCCAGGGTTACTAAGTTCCATCCTGGATTTTCTTACAATGGAAGCTGTTTAACTTGCGAAATACCAATTATTTTCGAATTAGAGTATATGGAACACGAATTACTAGCGATGGAATACAAAATCTTCGCTGTTTTTGCAGCATTTCTCACGATATTAAAATATTATGGTTACAAATTAATATTACAACACGCAGATACACAAGTACGAGCAAAGAGACTTTCAGTATATTCACTTGTTTTCAATATGTGCTATGATTACTCTTACAACATCTTTTTCCCCAATGATTACCTTACTTTTCCAAGCCAAAACTCATTGTACTTGTTCGTTTACTCTGTCAACGTATTTATCCACTTCTCTTTATTAATACCTCTCACTGTGAAGACGATTTTGGCTCAAACAAGGTTTACTCCTGAAAATTTCAGAGGACAAGGCGGTTGGTTGTTCACAAGGATATTCATATTGATGCTTCTCATTTCTGGATTGAAAGATATCTCGTTTAAACATCCTATTTTGATTATACTTTTAATTGAAGCACAATTGATACCTCAGCTGTTCAGATCTATCAAAGATAATGAAAGAGACTTCATATCCGTCCATGGAATTATTCTAATTTCTTTAATTCGAATAAGTCACATTGCATATTTCGGAATTTACAAAAATAACATCAAGGAAACATATTTCCCTAGACTGTCATTGGTAATTATTGCTGCCATTGTTATACAAGTTGCTTTAATGATTTTTGTCAATAAATATGGTTCAAAATGCATTCTTCCTAAGTCATTACGTCCGAAATCGTTTGATTACAGATCAATTCCGATTCCTCCGAACAGTGAATGCGCAATTTGTATGTGCAACATTGAAGATGGAGAACCAACTATGATGACTCCATGTGGACATCCATTTCACAGCCAGTGCTTGGAGAGATGGATGCAGGAACAGCTGGTTTGCCCTATTTGCAGGGCACCTCTGCTTCCTGAAGTTTAATTTTTTATAGATTTTTTTATTTTGTTTATATTACTTTGTTTTTTATATATGTAATACTATTTATAAAATGTTACTTTCTGTTGGTGAGTTTACATATTCTATTTCCTACTTTTTCTCCATCATTTAAATAATTGTACTTAATTCTATCTTTGCATTACATCAAATTACCTTCAATAAGTTTCATATACAAATGTCATGAATTCGACTATCCCCATTATGTTAAGGCTCCACGTTCATGCATTCAATTTTGAGAGGGCATTCAATTTTGAGAGGGCATTCAATTAAGATTGCACCTAAAAGTGCATTTGTAGCCACATATGTTTGCTTTTGGAATGAACAGATACCTAATCCATCATCTACATGATGAGATGGATCTATTGGTAGCACTCAAATTGAATAAATACCTAATTTGAAAAAACTTGGTTTTTTTTCGTCCAAAATCAATTTTGGAAAAAATTGACATATTTACATCGGTGAGAAAAATTTTTAAATTCTGATTGCAGTATGACTAATCACAATATTAGGAGAAACTAATTATCACATTCTTTTTCATTTTTATGAAAGATACAAAATCTCAAAACCCATCCACGCGCATAAAAAATTTAAATGTCCCTTATAAGACAAGGATTCCAGAAAAACAAAAGTTTCCCAAATCTGAAAAGTAGATTGCCAATTTCCTAAAAAAACTGGAATTTAGCTTTTATAAATATTAAAATATTATCTGTATAATATCAAAATTGTAATGATCAGTTCAGTTTTTGATTTGAATGAACTAGAAAATTTCTTGATTTCGAATATCTTCAATTAAGGGTTGATATGAGATGGATAGTATTTTAATATATATGAATATTGTATTTTATTGATTTTTTATTAGTAAAAGCAATATATTCTCAAAATACTAATATATTCAAAAATTACGAACTTTTGTATATAAATCATGTGAGTTTACGGATAGAAAATAATAGTGGTCTGCACTGTTTCTTCATATTCACAAAACAACGGCCCTTGGGGTTGGGGTGCGATCAAATACTTGAAAATTAATTTTGGAGTCCATAAGTGCATAGTATAATGGTTAGAATTCCCTATAATAAACCTTGTTTTGAAGTTCATTTGCCGAACATAAAACTTTTTTTCGAAATCGAAATTATTTCAAAAAAATATATCTTATTTTTTGCTTTTTAAGATAGTCATTATACACAAAATATTAGTAAACTATTTTTATTTGAATTACTAAAACTTTCAATTTTTTTATTCTCTGATATTGACTCTCATATGATACTTTATCCAATATATATGATTTTCTGCTGTTATTAGTTATATTACAATGAATGCTAAATCATCAAGCAAGATTCGGGATAAAATTTCGAACAATTTTATATTACAATCATTCTAATTTTAAATTTTTGAAACCTCAAAGATGTATTTGTATTGTGAATTACTAAATATTTCATACTGTCGATAAATTTTACAATTGCTATAAAAGGATATATTTTTATATTATGCGGGGTAAAAGCATGGTAAAGTTTTAATAGTTCATATGGAAGTATCTATGGTAGTGAAAATTGAAATTCACTATATTTATTGAGTTAGCTTTGCTTGATGATTTAGCATTCATTGTAATATAACTAATAACAGCAGAAAATCATATATATTGGATAAAGTATCATATGAGAGTCAATATCAGAGAATAAAAAAATTGAAAGTTTTAGTAATTCAAATAAAAATAGTTTACTAATATTTTGTGTATAATGACTATCTTAAAAAGCAAAAAAATAAGATATATTTTTTTGAAATAATTTCGATTTCGAAAAAAAGTTTTATGTTCGGCAAATGAACTTCAAAACAAGGTTTATTATAGGGAATTCTAACCATTATACTATGCACTTATGGACTCCAAAATTAATTTTCAAGTATTTGATCGCACCCCAACCCCAAAGTTGGCTAATATTTTATTATCTAATGAAGATTGCTATAAAATCAAATAAAAGTAAATAATTTTTGATTATTGTTTCAAAATGTTTAGTTTCAAAAGAGATTAATAACTCAAACGTAGGACTTCAGCATATTCCTGTATATGTACTAGAAAAATATGATCGAGAATAAGAAATTATTGATATTACATATGATATTTGTTAAAATTATGACAAAAACTATAAGCAATAATAAATTACAATAAGGCAATCAATTCGTCTAATATTTTGAATTGATTGGTATAGAATAAAATGAAACAAACTCTAATTATTATAGATGATTTGAAATATGCACAAAATCTTCAAAAGAATTCTGTATAGTTTCAGAATTTTACTCTTTATGTGTAATAAAAGATATCTTAATGTGTATATATGATTTGTAGAAGTTATTTATCGAGAATGAAATAAATATTGCAAATAAGGAAAAACAATGGTGCAGTTTAAGAGCTGATGGGTAAGTAAAGCAAATAAGATCAACTTTCGATTTTTCGAAATTTATTAGATCTCGGAGGTAAATTACCAAGGTTTTCGACGAAAAACCCTTTTTTGTGCTGTTGAAGCTACAGTTTCATTTGGTCATACTCCGACCCCTTGGCTTTGGGTATTCACAGAGTTATGGGTCATTAAAAAAAAGGAGGATTACGACCCTCTCAATTTATGAACGTGGAGCCTTAATTAGGAAACCTTTCGGATATGAATTCTTTTTTGGAGCAGGAATCAAATGGCAACGATGTTTATGTGTTAATGTAGTTTCTTATATCATTTAGGTCAGCAATCACATATCCTGACAAAAAAAATTTTCCAAGAGAATTTTTTTGCAAAGATGAATCGATGAAAGAATTTTATTATGAAAAATTGTTCGCAGGCTAATATGATGGATTTATGAGTATACTTTTCCAAAAATTTTATGTAAACCATTCAATTTTGTTCAGCCAATATCAACATATTTTGATGCCAGAGACTCCAGCATATTTTGAATTACTTAATAGCATTGATCAGAGCACATATTCTGACCTACAGAAACGCCTCAGTTCATCAGATTGCAGAAATTGTAGAAATAAAAGACTCGACAATTTTAACGAGATGTTAGACGAGATTAGACACTACACAAACAAAGCAGACGGAGATGATTGGAAGAGAAGCCTTGTTTGCGGGGTTTGCTTCCTCTCTGATGGCATAGCAATCAATACACATCAACTTAGTATTCTTATTGGGAAATGCAAGAGTTCAATCAATGGTTCTCTTCACAGACTGAAATACGTTCCATTCCCATGTAGTAATGCTGCCAGTCAAGAACTAGTCACACTTATTCCAAAACTAAAAGTAAATTATAGTGAGTTAAGACAGTGGACCTTACGAAAGAAAGGTATTATGACACCTCAACCTATGGTACATGAAAATAAGCCATTACCAACACCAATTTTCATAACTCCTCAACCAGAACCAAAAGTAAACGCAATGGTTCAACCTAGGAAGGAAGAAGCAAAGACAGATGATTTCTTCTATGATGATCCTATAATGCTCCCAATTTCCGGGTGGAATGATGAAATAGACATCAAGGATCCAGCAGAAAGCTTTGATCCATCTTTATTTATGAGTGACTACTTGTAAATCATTTTTGTTAGTAGGCAATAATCAATGGTTTTTGAATTTATACATTTTTTTATGAGATTTATAGTTGATTTAGTGATAACCTGTTAACTAATATGATCTTCTCCTGAATGATATATTGGATTTGGTAAATTTGTTTACGATAATTGATCGATGTTAGATTTTATTGAGAGAGAGCTGAGGTTAAATGGCATTCTTATCCTTTTCCCTGTAATTTGATGGTATTTAACGAATGATGCATATATCCTTTAATTTTTACGAAGATTTCATAAAATTTGGATAAAAAAGTTACCAAATCCAAAATAAATTTACTTTTTTAATTGTGTGTTCACTAATCAAGCTATTTTAATCAAAATCATAAAATTCATAAATCAACGATCAATATTTCAATAACCGACGATTCTGTATTTTCTTGATGGGGTTTTTTCTTAATTGATAGATTATAGGCATTAGAATACTGCTAAGACAAAGTCAAGAGAAAATATGATACCCTGAAATTTAGTGATATTTTATCTAATCTTTAATAGCACATTTTAAATCTTAAAGAAAATCTCAAAAATATTTAAGTCGGAAATCGTGACGTTCAATTGACCAGATAGTGAAATTTAAGGTTATTGTATGTCGAAAAAATTTAATATTGTAGAAATCAACTTAAGAATATATTTGTTGATTGTTTTTTTTAAAAAGTTTCATTGAATTATAGTGGTTTTTTTTTTAAGTTCCACGTCACTTCATCATATCACATTTTGGATTTTGTTTCATATAACATAACAACATTATATGTATTTATATTTTAATTAACAAAATTTTAATAAATGCGAAGATTTAGAAAGTCTGATCATAAATTTTCTCAAAAATCATGTTTTAATAAGTAATTCGAGGATTAAAAATCATGGATGATAAATTGTGATAGCTTTTTTGTCAAATTAGTGAATATAATGACAAGCATATCATGTGATTTTAAGTCCGATTGAGATGAACAAAGTTTGATGATCTCTAGTGTAAATACATAAACTTATAGCATTCCTTTATGCCAAAATATCAAATTTGATATAATATAATTGTGGACCTCAGGTGGCTACGCTTGCCCGAAGGGCAAGCGTAGCCACCTGAGGCAAAATATGTATATTGATTATAGGAGTTCGTCCAGACTCTCTGAAGTTTTTAGATAATTTTATCTTCATTTGCTCGGAAAAGCAAATATGATGAATTCAAAAAAAAAAAAAAAAAAAAAGGTAGTGGGGCTTCCAGGCACTTCGTGCCTTCTAGCCCTGATGATGTTTAGTAATAAATGAAGTTTTTATTCGGAAAATTGTTAGTCTTCTGGGTCGAAAACAATATATAATGTTTCACTTTTCACAAATTATATATGTTTTCATGTTTTGTCAAGATTTCATCGTAAATGTTTTGTCAAGACTTCTTCGTAAATGTTTTGTCAAGATTTCATCGTAAATGTTTTGTCAAGACTTCTTCGTAAATGTTTTGTCAAGATTTCATCGTAAATGTTTTGTCAAGACTTCTTCGTAAATGTTTTGTCAAGACTTCTTCGTAAATGTTTTGTCATGATTTCTTCGTAAATGTTTTGTCAAACATGAACGTAAATGTTTTGTCAAGACTTCTTCGTAATGAGTGTAAATGACCAAAAATATAATTTAGGTGAAGAGGTTAGATCTAACCTGTTTTCTAACCTCTTTTCTACCCTCATGAATTTGTCATGATTTCTTCGTAAATGTTTTGTCAAACATGAACGTAAATGTTTTGTCAAGACTTCTTCGTAAAATCAGACAAAAATAAAGTTTAGGGTAGAAGGTTAGATCTAACCTGTTTTCTAACCTCTTTTCTACCCTCATGAATTTTCATGATTTCTTCGTACATGTTTTGTCAAGACTTCTTCGTAAATGTTTTGTCAAGACTTCTTCGTAAAATCAGACAAAAATAATGTTTAGGTGAAGAGGTGAGATCTCACCTGTTTTCTCACCTGTTTTCTCACCTCTTGAATTTTCATGATTTCATCGTAAATGTTTTGTCAAGACTTCTTCGTAAAAATGTTTTGTCAAGACTTCTTCTTCGTAATGAGTGTAAAGGACCCAAAAATATAATTTAGGGTAGAAGGTTAGATCTAACCTCTTTTCTAACCTCTTTTCTACCCTCTTGAATTTTCATGATTTCTTCGTAAATGTTTTGTCACTTTTCTGTCACTTTTCAGGGAAAAACATTTTTATTATTATATATAAATGAATTTTACAAAACCACCGTTACCGTTCTTTGGAAATAAGAGTAAATGTAAAGATATTATATTGAGAGAACTTAAGAAACTACCGAATGGTCTAACATTTGTAGATTTGTTCGGTGGAAGTTTCTATATATCCCATTTGTGCCATATAATATTTCCAGACTCAAAGATTATATGTAATGACTTCGACAACTATATGGACCGTCTCAAACATATTCCAGACACAAACAAAATATTGAAAGAGTTAAAAGAAAAGATTCAGATAGGTAAGATGGAACGTATACCATTAGATAACAAAAATATTGTGAGAGAGGTTTTGAAAAAAGCAGAATATATAGACTGGGATAGTATATCTGCTAGACTATTATATAGTGGTGCTATAAGAGTTCATGACATTGAAACACTTATGTCAAAAGTTTTATATCTTAACTATACAAATGTTTTCAAAGAGGACATAGAAAAATATATTGAGGGTATAGAGTTTGTGAGATGTCATTGGACAGATTTGTATGAAAAATATAAAGACAAGGAAAATGTTTTCTTTATAGTGGACCCGCCGTTCTATAACACATGGGATTTTCAATACCAAGTAGACTGGACTTTGAGAGACTCTTTAGAAACTTTAGACGTTTTACATAACCATCCATGCTTTTACTTTACATCCGATAAAAGTGGTTTGGAAACCGTTATGAGATGGTTAGAGGACATACATGACTATGAGTTTATATATGACAAGATAGAATATGAGAGAGGTCCTATAAACTGGAGAAAGTGTCATAACAAAGAAATTTTATTAGTAAGTAAATGTGGTTTGAAATAGGACTACTTGTTTTAGGTTTTTTCCATTGTGTCATTTATTTATTTGACGTGGCAGAAAAGTACAGAGAATATGAAGATGAACCAATGCCTGCAAATGTTCAGTATATGTACTCGTAAGAGATATTTTTATCTAATATTAAATGGACGCACAGAACTTAGCGAATGCACAGCAACCTGGACAACCAAACCCAGAGAATATTCCAAATGAAGTTAGAATACAAACTGCAATGGCAAACTATGGTCAAGTGCCAACAGATGTACAAATGCAAACTGCCATGTCAAATGACGCTGCGTTAGGTTTGCCACCATGGATGCAAATATGAGATGGAAAGAGTTTTATACAAACCCTGAAGTGGGATATAAACAACTTTATGCAGATGACGCGAACACGGGAGTTGACCCAGAATATGTTTTCTACCAGAGGAGAAACAGAATGTATGAGCTCCAGTTAAAGAATGCTATGGAACTCAACAGGAAACGTAAGAGACTAGGCGGACATTAGATTTTTACATATAGTAAAATGGGTTTCTTCAGTAAGATAGGAAACTTCTTTCGAAATGTTGGAAGAGGTATATGGAATGGAATAAAATCTGTCGGAAGAGGAATTTGGAACGGTGTCAAAAATATTGGTAAAAGGGTAGGTCAGTTCGTTGGTATTATACCTAAAGACCCTGAACCAGAAGAACAAGCTCCTGTTATACAAAGCCTGAACCTGCACCACAGTCTAGTTGGCAACCAAATCCAACACCTCAACCGTATTAAAAAAATTATTTTTTACCGTTCGATAGTAGTTGTATATGAAAACTAAGTTCTAAGTAAAACGCATGGTATAATGGAATTATTCTTTTTCTTCCATCTGTAGTAAACCATACTTGAAAGTCTGAAATACTTCCACTTGGTGGTTCGTATAACTTTGTAGGTTTTTCGTAAAAGTCATTTGCCAAGCATAAGAAAGAGTTTTGGGCGCCAGAAAATGAAGCATGAACAATAATAGCATCTGGGTCGAAAATATTTCATATGTTCCATTAGGGTTTTCGACTTCATAAAAGTCTGGGTGTACTGGATATGCTGCAGGCTGATTTAACATCCTCATAAATCTATACCATGCCAAGTTGTTATATTTTGTAGAAATATAAACGTTTTCTCCAAGGTCTTCTATTCTATTGATTTTAACAGTTGCATTTTTCCTGTCATAAATAATATCGAGATGGTACTCTCCCTCGTCAATGTTATACTGTTTTGCATATTCGATATAGATATCGTTTATTTTTTCTTGAAAAGCTTGAAGAGTTGTTTCTAAGTTTACAAGCAAACTAACTTGTAAAAGTTTTCCCTGTTCAAATTTCTCATACATACGTTTTCTTTGTTATAGTATCGAACTTCAAAACCGACCGTAAATGGGAAACCATGTATGGCTTCTGAAATGAACTTCATTCTACGAAAGCCAATAGCTTTTGTGACAGATGGGTCTCTTAGCCATCTTAATGGGTAGTCAAAACGATAGCCTTCATGCTTTACGGTCTCTGTCTCAAACTTTTGACCGACATTAGTAAAAAGTTCATCTAATGGTTTAGTTGTAGCAACTCTTGAATTTTCTTTTTCTATTGAAAGCATATTTTATCTAGAATAAAAATGTCGAAAGATATTGCTTCCATGAGAGAAATACAACACAACCGACAACTCATTATGCAAGCTCTAAATAAGAACACAACAAACTTTTCAAACTATTCTAAGATATCTGAGTCATTGAAAGAAGGAAACTTAAAACTGACATTAAACCCAATGACAGATGAGTTTCTATTTCAAGACAAGAAGAACAATACTGTCTGTATAAATCCAACAAAAGGAACTTTAAACGAGAAACCTATAAATGAACTTCTTTTGAAAGCAGATGTTGACAACAAAGCTGACAAAGAATATGTAGACGATGCAATAGCAAAAGAAGAAGAAAGAGCTAACAATGCTTATGCAACAAAAGAACATACTCATCCTGAACTAGCAGACAAAACATATGTTGACAATAAAATGTCAAGTGAAGTGACAAGAGCTGAAAACGAATATTCTAAAAAGACTCATATACATTCTATATCTGAAATAACAGACTTACAAGAAACCTTAAACAGTAAAAGTGCCGTTGGACATACACATTCTATATCTGAAATAACAAACTTACAAGAAACCTTAAACAGGAAAAGTGCCGTTGGACATACACATTCTATATCTGAAATAACAGACTTAAACGTTAGCCTTGAAAAGAAAGCAAATAAGACTCATACACATACAAGTTTTACAACTGTTGCTATAGAAAGTATTGAAGGAACGGTTGAAGAAACTGGTGGGGATGCAATATATTGTAAACCTCCTAACTTTCCACAAGGTTTAACATCGGATGACGACATAACGACGATGAAAAACATTAGATGTAAAGATGTTTATGTCATGAAGGATGAACATAATATTAAATTCACTGCTCAAGATTTATATGACAAGAAAGCAGACAAAACAGAGCTTCAAACATTAAAGACAGAAATACTTCAAACATTATATCCTATAGGCTCTATTTATACGTCAATGAACTCTACCAGACCAGAAACAGTTCTGGGTTTTGGAACTTGGACTCAAATAGTCGACAGGTTTTTGTATTGTGCAAACTCTTCAAAGGAAACAGGTGGAAGTAAAACGATTTCAGGTGAAAATTTACCTGCACACAGTCACTACATAGATTTAAGTACATCTCAAGCAGGTTGGCATAAGCATAGATATTGGGATTGGTCAGCAATGACAAAAGGTAAAGATATGATGTTAAAGACAACGTTAAGTTTGCTATAGATTGTTACTGGAGTAACACTGAGGGAGGAGGAAACCATACACATCGCGTTACAGGATATACGCAAACAACGGGACAAAGTAAAGACTACATGCCACCTTACATGACAGTTTACGCATGGTATAGAAATGCTTAGTCGTCATTTTCAACTTCTTTAGCATATTCGTCAGGAGTTGTCTTATATTTGTTAGGAACTGTCTTTGAAAGTATACCACCTTGAACCTTAACAAGTTTGAAACGAGGTCTGACAATAGTAGTTTTATCTTCTGCTTGCAGTGTGTACATTTTGCCATGTTTGCCTAAAACTTCATAATATTCTCTTGTATACTTTCTTCTATTTTTACGAACACGAATGTGAGTACCTGTCGGGTTCCCATTGTTGTCATAGTCAATAGTATTTTCATATGGGTCGCGTTTAGGTATTTCTATTTTTACTTTGTCACCTTTCTGAAGTTTGAAGCCCGGCATTCTTTCTTGTTTGTCTCTTTTGACTAAATTATTAAATATATAGTCTTTCTCTAAGTCAGGGTTGTTTTTCATTTCTTCGGGGAGTGGTTTCCCAAACCTTTTTGTTTACGGTTGTTGTAAATATTTAAAACTTGTCTCATCTTTGCCATGGAGAAGTGTCTATATTTGTCGTCATATGACATTTCATTTGCTTCACCACCTTGTGGTTGGTTTAAGTCTCTTAACATTTTTACATCCGTCAATGACACCAAGAGCAGAATGGTTTTGGTCGACAATGAAATATTGGTTTACATTTTTTGAACGCAGATAGTTTTTAATATCATCTGATTTGAAAGAACTTTCACAGTCAGATGTCAGTTTTGTTGGATGGTATTTGTCAACGAATATTGTCAAAGCAGTTTTCACATCTAAAATATTTTTGGACCATAATGGTATGGCTTCACAGTATCTTGTGTTTTGACCGACAAATATTAGCCAGTATGGTGGTCCATCTGTTCTAACTCTCGGAATGTTTTCCAAGATATCCATAAACCAAGCATTTGGTGTTGAACTAAAGATTTTATCATGAGTGCTTTCTTTGTCGCTTTAGAAACATAGGGGTCCTTGTTTGGATTCGTCATTTTTATCCTATAAGAAATGGGTTTATTTGGCGCATTAGCAGGAGTTGCATCCAGATTTTTGCCCGCAGTGGGAACAATAGCCAGAGGTGTATTTGGAGTTGGAAGGAAGATTTTGAGTACATTAGGTATACTTAAAGAGAAAGCACAACCTATTATACAAACTGTACAGAAAGGTTGGGATGTAGCACGAGATGCAGCAAATCTTATTCCAAATCCTGAAACAAGAGGAAAAGTTCAAGGATGGATGGACAATGTAGGAAGACAAGCAGGAAACTATTATAACAAAGCAAATGACTACTATAACCAAGCAGGACACTATATGGACCAAGGTGAAAGATTCTTTAACAGAGGATATAACCATGCACAACAATGGGTAAACAATAACCAACCTCAACCGCCTCAAACGTGGGGAATGTAAAGTTTTTTACTGAGATGAAATGAAATACAGCATGGAGACAAATGGGTTCAAGATGGATTTGTCGGCTTCCAGCAGTTACACAACGTGTTTGTCAAGTTCTTCCTATACCTCAGGAAGTTTTAGACCGACTTAAAAAACCTAAACAACCAGTTGAAAACAAACCAAACTAAAATTTTTTACTGAGATGAAATGACCGAAGAAGTTGAAACGGTAGATTTGACACCACAAACAAAAAGTTCAGAACCATTGTCAAAACCTGTCAAAGAACTTACAGATGAAGAGAAAAATTCAATAATAGAAAGTGCCAGGTCTGGAAATACAAACCCTAACTACAAAGTCACTTTTCATAGAAATGGAACGGCAAGTATCTCAAAAAAGAAACAGACTCTCACAAATAAAATATTGAAGTCTGAAGGAGCTTTCGAGACAACAGATGGAAAAGTTTACTTCACTGACCAACAGTTCATTATAGAACATCTCATTGACTTAGAGTCAAAATATTCTAAACTTTACAACAAACACAAAAAGTTGAAAGGAAAACAAAAACAAATGGCATATGATATTTATGAAGATGTTGACGACACAACTGTTCCTGCAAGTAGGGTAAGGTCAGAGGAACCAAAAAGTGACGAAAAACCGATAGAAGAAGAAAAACCGATAGAAGAAGATAAACCAAAACCAAAGTTTAGTTTCCAAACTAAACCAAGTCAACCTTCATTAGCTGGTATGGGTTGGCGTCAAAGACTTATGGCAGCAGGCGGTTATGTAAAGTAAAGAAAAAATATTTTTTAATTTTATTTGAAATGTACGCTGAGTTTGTTGGAGAAGACCGTTGGGAAACTTGTTTGTTAGATGAGAAATATGAAATGGCATACCATTTTAAAACAATATATTTTTACATATATTAAATGCTTCAGGTTGAAAAACAAAGAACAAAAGTAGCAGATACAAAACCGTTAGACTATATCTTTACAAATGCTGGTAGGACTATTTCAGATGAAGAAATTTCATCCCGAATATACAGGTTTGACTATCCAATTCGTTGGCTTCAAAGTCCTTCAGATGCAAAGGCAATAGGATTTAGAAGAGTTTTGTTTTCAAATAGAACTAACGCATTTATGTTCGCAGTATATTTTCATGGGCAGTATAAAGGTCATGATGGTCTAATAGACAAATTTGACGAAATGAGAATCTTTACAGTTCGTTCAGACGAAAGTCTTGAGAAAACTCTAAATGACTTTCAAACTCAAATGAACAAATATTATTGGGAATTTCAAGAAAAATACGACTCTTTACTAAATGGAACATACTATCTGAAACTAGAATATGACAAGATGAACTCCACCGTTTCATTTCAAAAGATTGAAATTAACCCTCCAAGAGATACAGAGTTTTTATTTTGGAAAGTAGACAAACGTTCTTGGGCACAATTTCTTCGGTTACTAAACCAGAACGAACCATTACCACCAGATGGTCCATTTCAATTTATACTTCCACCAGCAGATTTGACAGTTTATAGAAACGTGTTTGACCCTCAAAATGTTATGTGTCATGCAAGTTTCAGTTCAAGCAACAATAGTTTTCTATGTATTGGTAAGGACTTTTATGACTTTGCTTCTAAATTCTACGAACCACCTAGTAACAGTTTCTCTGACTTTCAAGTTTGGTTCACAACAAATGGTGTGCAACATATTATTCCATTGTACTATGACTTTTATCTCGAATTGTCTTTCATATATAACTACGGAAAAGTGCTGAAAAAGTATTGAAAAATATATTTTAGGTGAAGAGGTGAGATCTCACCTGTTTTTTCACCTCTTTTTTCACCTCTTGAATTTGTCAAGACTTCTTCGTAAATGTTTTGTCAAGACTTCTTCGTAATGAGTGTAAAGGACCAAAAAATATATTTTAGGTGAAGAGGTGAGATCTAACCTCTTTTCTAACCTCTTTTCTACCCTCTTGAATTTGTCAAGACTTCTTCGTATATGCTTTGTCAAGACTTCTTCGTATATGCTTTGTCAAGACTTCTTCGTAATGAGTGTAAATCAGACAAAAATAATGTTTAGGGTAGAAGGTTAGATCTAACCTCTTTTCTAACCTCTTTTCTACCCTCTTGAATTTGTCAAGACTTCTTCGTACATGTTTTGTCAAAACTTCTTCGTACATGTTTTGTCAAGACTTCTTCTTCGTAATGAGTGTAAAGGACCCAAAAATATAATTTAGGGTAGAAGGTTAGATCTAACCTCTTTTCTAACCTCTTTTCTACCCTCTTGAATTTTCATGAATTTTCCCGAAATAAAAAATAAAGTTAGTTTTATTTTTTTTATTTTTTTTATTTTGTATGTAAAGATATGATTTCAACAATCGGCACAACAACACTTCAAACAACAACAGCACCAAACTCGTTAGTCATGAATCCAACATCTATGTTAGTAGAAATGAAAAGCTTCATTCCTTCTTCATATACTTTCGAAACAGAAATCCAGAAGATAAAGCAGGAACTTTTAACATGTAATTTAGACTGTTGTGCGAAAGATGAAACAAATGAACAGTATCTTTATGAAATGCAGGACATTATTGACCATTTACCCAAATTGCCTGAAATCCAACAACAAAAGCTCACTATTCCTGAATTCGACGAAATTGAAGTCAAAGCAACTGACTCAGTAGAAATAAAGAAGTTCATACGAAAGGTAAATTATGAATTCCTTGGTTTTCATTGCAACCATAAAGTTATGGACAAAGATTGCGACATGTTATATAAGAACATCTCTGACATATATAAATCTGGGGAGTTTAAGACCTACGACAACTTTGTTTCGTTAGTTGCTGAATGTGTATGGCAGATAAGAGATAAAGATAGAAGAGGTAAGGTATGGAATGAATAGATAAAACCAACTGCTTCAGATTTAAAGAAAACCATTGACGCCTTAGTTGTTTAGCAGTAAGTCTTCAAATATAACGCAAAATGAACCCGCAATGTTCTAAATGTAAGGCAGCAATTAGGAAATATAACTACTCCGTCAAAGAGATAGAAAGAATGAGAAACGACTATGCAGACTTAAAGAAAGAAGCAGAAAAGCCAGCAGAAGATAAAATGGATATGTTAGAATTTCTGAACAAAAACTATCCAACAGCAGAAGATTTCCTTTTATCTGACGTCAAGAAGAAGTATAAAGAGACTTTCGGCATAGTTAAAACATTCGATATCCTCAGCGAAGAAATAGAAGCTAC